TTGAATATTCAAATATTTAAAGTTTATGTTCTTGGGAATGGGCTTCTTTGGCACTTTAGTGGACCGAATCATTTAAGGGTGACCTCAGTAACCACCTGACTATCCTTCAATGTGACTAAACTGTGAACATATTTAGACAGTGGAGTCTAATCCAAACACCGGGAAGGAGAAAGGCATCAACCTGGATGACGTCTGTGTCCCCTTCTAGCCATGAACTTCTAATGCAGTGTGGTACTTTTGATGTCTCTTGTAGACATCACAACAGACTACAAATCACTTTGAGTTTCTTAGAAAATAGGCACCCTTACTTAGGTAGGGCTTTTAATCTTCCTGCTGGAAAAGGGTAAGGTTTGTTCTTTATAAGAACAAGAAAATTTTTCAAAAATATTTTGTTTATTTATTCATGAGAGACACACAGAGAGAGAGGCAGAGACACAGGCAGAGTGAGAAACAGGCTCCCTGTGGGGAACCTGATGCAGGACTCGATCCTGGGACTCCGGGATCACACCCTGAGTCAAAGGCAGGTGCTAAATCACTGAGCCACCTAGGCATCCCAAGAACAGCAAATTAACACCATTTCAGTATCGGTCCCTTTCTTATATTTTTTTTATTGGAAGGATATAAGTCAAATAGTTAATAGTATTATTTTCCATCTGTTTTAACTTGGTCTGCTCATTGGATATTTTGAGCCTTTACAGAAATATATTCACTTCATTTACAATTTCTTTTTCCCTTAACTGCTCTTAGTTTTAATATTTAAAGGTGGTTCTTTCTCTGAGTACTGTCCATTGATTTCCAGCTGATCTACTTTTCTTGAGTTTCCTATTAATACATAATTGTGTCATATTTTAGACTTCATTTTGAAATGACCCTTTTGTGAGATTTTCCACAATGATTGATACCATGTTCATTCTTTATCAGTCCATGATATAAATCAATAATAATTTCCTGACATTATTTGAAGATTCAGTGAAGGGTAAAATTTATAATACAATAGTAAAAGCTGGTCTAGTCTATAAAGTTACAATGTCCTCAGCCCTCTTTATTTAGGACTGCATTGAATATTGTTACAGGAGACAGCTTTGTTCTGCAGCATCTACTAAAGACTAGTTATTTATTTTTTTATTTTATTCTAGCAGTGCAGTATAGCCTAATCATTAATGGTTCAGGTTACATTTTTTTCTTATTAGATATATGACCTTCAACCAATTACTTCACCTTTGGAGCTTCTGTTTCTTTTGCTTTAAAATGGATGAAAATAATACCATCTTCACAGGGTTTAAACAAGTGAATGTGTTTGGTTTGCAGTAAGCTTTAAATAAGTTTGTGGTTGCTCTTATTATTGACACCATCATTCAAAAATTAATATATTCCAGTTTTTCTTTTTTTAAAAAAATTATTTATTCGTGAGAGACACAGAGAGGCAGAGACACAGGCAGAAGGAGAAACAGGCTTCCTGAGGGGAGCCCAGTATGGGATTTGATCCCAGGATCCTGAGGTGAAGGCAGACAGTCAACTGCTAAGCCACCCAGGCGTCCCTATATTTCAGTTTTTCTTATTCCTACTTTCTCCATTTCCTCTTAGATTCATATATTTTCTTGTTATTCCTTTAAAAAAAAAACAAGATATCAAAGAACCAAAATCTTAAATATGCTAATTGAGTATTTCTCTGGAAATGCTTACCTTGGTTTTTCATATATATATATATATATATATATATATATATATATATATATATATTATCATTTGATTGTAAGCAACATTTATAAGTTGTTTGGTTCCTGAAAACAAAAACAAGGCATGAATTTTCTCTTTCAGGAAGTACTATATTATCACTGAATAAAACAAATTATCAGCAAGATCCTTAAAAGGAGTTTTAGAAGGGAGAGCCCTCTGCATATAACTTGGAATTTAAATTCCCAGATTTCCTTAAGAATCTTAAAAAATGAGGTTTTTCACTTTTCCTTCATTTGTAACTGAAATACACATGGTTGAAACATTTCTTCTGCATGAACTCTTTCTCACTGATTATTAATTGGTCCTGTATTTCCCAAGGGAAAACTGCCTTTGGTCACAAATCAAAAGATTGGCTTAGTTGAAATAAGCAATAAAAAAACAAATAGCCAAAAAGATTTTGGAATCATCAAATGGTATATTTACAGATAGAAGTTGTTTTTATTCTTTTTTAAATTTGGAAGATTTCAATTCATGGTAGAATTAGAATTTCTCATTTTAGAGTTCTGTGTTTAATTATAAAGAAGTAAACAAGCAGAGGTTAGATGACCTCATATTTTTATTTCGCTTTGGAAGTAGTTTTATTTTAACATTTTAATGTGAATATCTACAAGTCTGGTGCTTTCTTTGAGACAAAATGATATAACCATATTTTACATACCTATTCCACAATTCTATTTCAACTTGTAGAGTCCCACCTACTCCATATACCTCTCTAGAGGCACAGAGAAGTGCCCCAAACATTCTTGGTCCTCACTTTTTAAAAAGTTGTGCAGGGCTTAAAATACAATGGTCAATAAAGACTTGTCTAATGAGTTTGAAGAATTAAGTATCTGAATTTTAATTGATTTCAGTCTGGGATGAGTTCTAGTAATAAGGAAAAATCTTTCAAAATTAAAGCTGTCCAAAATAAATTACAATAACTTAATGGTTTAGGCATAATATATTTTTCAGTAACAATGCCTGTGGATATTTTATCAAAATCCTTCTTTAAAAACTGTTTCCTGCCTTACGTATGAAGGCCAGATTTCTTAGTTGGTTAAGACTCTACCAAAAACCAGTTCAAATCAGAATTTTAAAAATCTTAAAATTATAGACATCTCATTACAAAGTACCAAAAATTGCAGATAAAGGCAATGGTCTCTCCTGACCTCCTTCGCCTCTTATTATGTCTTTATCTTGAGGTTAGTGTAGACATTAGTTCATTTTTACTTCTGGACCCTATTCTATTTATGTGATGTATATGTATGAACCACTGTATCTAGTAATCTAAGCCATTATGTTTTTAGCCTAAGTAGTATCCTATCATAAACTTTTTTTCTGTAATTTTTCACTTAGAAACACATATTGGGGTTCTTTCCATATCAGCACAGAGACAGTATTTTTTTAACTGGAATGGTTATCCATGGTCTGTAGAACTATGTATTTATTTATTTATTTATTTATTTATTTATTTGGGATTCACCTTTAAATTGTTTCCATTTATTTGCTCTCAAAACCAACATTGAGGTAAACATTCCTGAACAGGCCTTCATGTACATGTCTATGAGTGTCTCTTTAGATTAAATGCTGAGAAGTGGGGTTAATTTTTGTACTTTGTGCTATTTTTCTTCTTAATAGATAACATCAAATTGCCCCCTAATTGGGCTGCACCATTTCTTACAACCAGTTCCATCTATTACTTAATTTATTGTCCTCTTAAAATCCTATATTCCTAGGTATAGGAGGAAAACATTTTCCCTGGACCTTTCGTGGTTCCTGGCTGGGTCTGAAAATTAAACTAACAAAGCAGATTGAAGGAGAAAGCATACAGAATTATTTAATGTCTTACATGACACTGGAGCCTTAATAAGGACAAAAAGACCAGTTAATAAAGAAATTGTTAATTCTAAGCCTTTTATGCAAGGTTTGAAGAAGAGTGGACAGTCATGGAAAGATATGATGGATCAAAGCATATAAGCTAAGTGTAATAAACTGGGAGAAACTTAGCCAGGCTAAAATTCGGCTTCCTCTGCTTATCTGTCCTTTCATCTTCCAAAATAAGGATGCTTCCTTTCTCCAGTTATACAGAGGACACCTCTCACGTGAGGGCATTATGATCCACTGCAGCGGAAAAAATCAGAAAGTCCATCCTGCACATACTGTGTCTTAAATTCCTTCAGCTTGAAATATTCATTATACCATGGTGTGTCATATTTTGGGATAGCTCATCTCCAAACCCATCATCCTATAACCTCCAAAGTGTTCTAAATGTACCATACATTATAACCTCTCATTGCTTTTGCTTGTGATGTTACCAGTTTCTCTAACAGAATCTGAAACAGCACTTATAACTGAGGAGCTATTATTAGATAATTATTGGTTGTTAGGTAATTAGTATTTTTACCAACTTCTTTTCAAATTTTACCTCACATTCTCAGCAAAAGTAGTAAAGTGTTTTTCTTCTCTTCTCCTGGTATCCTATACATATCTTTTTGTATAGCAATTCTGGTGTAGTTTAGTTGTTAATGCATCATACCAAGTAAATTGTAAGATATTTGGGATGTGAGGTCCTCTCTGGTAAGATGGAGATGTACCACCTACTGTGTCCCGGGACTAGTGGTCCTGCTACATATCTTTAAGACTCCAGATATAATTTTTCTCTCTCTTTTTTAAAGTGGTAGATTAACAACATAATAATGTGATTAACAAGAAAGAAAACAAATTAGATCAGTCATTATTCAGAGTGTTAGAATAAATTAAACTGAAATAGATGCCTGAGTGCTTTAACTTATGAATATTATTAACCACTGTACGTGGTTATTGATTCTGTTTTACCTCACTAAGTAGGTATCTGTATATGTATATATAATATATATTAGTATTTAAATATTCTGATTTAAAAATGAATCATTGCCTCCAGCAGACCCATTACAAATGAATTCATATCTCAATTAAATTGAGTTGTAAACCACACAGTTGATTACCCCAAAGAGCTCATTTTAAATGCATACGACTCTTAATAGCTCCAATGGGAAGGCAACCCTTCAGGAGTGATGAATATTTCAACTTTTAATGGAAACAAGGTTACCTAAGACATTAAGGTTACATAAGATTCTGTCAAAGCTGTTATGACTTTATAAATTTATAATTTGAACGTTCTGGTCAAAACAGTTTTCTAAAATTAGGAAGGTGGGACAAATGCAAATAAGCTTCTTTAAACAAAGATATATGATTGTAAGACATTTATGGTATATTTTTAATAATTTGTTTTTCTGTAATTGTAGTTGATTTTAGAAGCTACTGTTTTATCATCAAATGCTACTGTTGCTCTAGATGACATTAGTATGAGCCAGGAATGTGAAATTTCTGATAAATCACTTCCAGATACCAGCATACTAAAGAAAGGTTAAGTTTTTTCTAGTGTTCACTGAAGTTTTAAACATTGAAATAATTACTTCCTCCTGCTACCAAAATTTAAAACATATTAGAGTCCTTCAGTAATATAGCTCACTAATAGTGAATACCAGGATGTAGGTTATATCACATATTCTCAAAAACTAAAACCTATTACTAGAGTGAATACCAGGATGTAGGTTATATCACATATCCTCAAAAACTAAAACATATTACTAGAGTATCTATATGCTATATCACAGCCTAGGCCTTAGAGACACTTCCATAATACTCTGTGCTTGTGGCTAAAATTTACAGTTTTTTAGTTATAAAAATTATGAAAGTATTTTTAATTATTTTACATAATTTAAAAACACTTCTATAAAATTTAATTGTATTTTAATTTTGTTTGGCACTTCGAATGAGTATATAATGAAATTCATATTTCAGAACCACCTAGGAGTTAAAAAAAAAAAACTTACTGTGTTTGGAAAAGTGACTTAAGGCCAGCCAAAATTTGTCTTGATCCTGAAATTCTGTTTAAATTAAGAACATAATATTTTCAAGTAATAGATGGAATTTGTCTAATTCTTTGACTAAATATTTTGTAGAGCATTTCAATTAAGGGGCAGAATGATTGTTATAAAAATGAATCCCAAAAAGTCAAGTAGGCATTTTTGAAAGTCTATCCATTATTTAGGTTCTGAGAATGAATTGAAACAGTGTGCATCGTGCCTGCAGTTACTTTGTCATTTTAACACTGATTGATGTTTCTCTTTGATCACTCCTATCCCAGAGTCTGTTCGTGGATAGACAACATTAAACATTTTGCCTGAAAATGCTCATACTTTATTTTTCTTTATCCATATACATGAACATTATTTTCATTTAGAAGTTAGGCACGTTGTATCTTCTGAAGTTATGTTTCATTAAATGATATTTAGTAAGTGGAGAAGTTGAATTATTACCTGAGCTTAAGGCAGTGATCAATGATAATATAGGAGGATAAAAGTCTGGATTGGGAAGTAGATTAAAGAACTTTTAATTAGTAATCCTTTACTCAAGGCTTCTTTCATTGTTGAGATTGTATAATTCTTTGTACTAACTTTGTATGGTGCTGTGTGTTTATTCAGAATGTGTGTTCTGAACTTATAATAAACCTTTCTAACCTATGTGTATGTATTTGGTTCTGATAGACATTGAAGAATGGAGGAATGTAGAACAAGAGATTTAATGATTAATGAGCTTTTGAGGGTTAACCAGCATTACCTTATTTCTGTTTCTTAATTAAACATTTTCCTTCTCTAATCAAATACCACATCACCAGAATTGGAATGACAGAAAGTTGACATTGAATAGAATGTAACTGGAGGCAAGAGAGTGGTTAAAAGTTTTAAATTATCACCAAAATTAACCTTAGCAGAAGTCTCTGAAAGTGCATGATCTCACAGAGAATTCTGTTTTCAGAAATTAAATCAAAACTCAATTTTTGTGTGCTTCAATTTGAACACCGTTTTTGCTGGTTAGAGTATAATTCTAATTAGATCAAAAGTATAGGAATTTTTCCTGAAAGGCCAACTGTTGTACATGAGGAGAAAAGAAAACCTTTCTTACTGTTTTTGCAAATTTTTCCAATAGATAATTATAAGATCTTTTTTTGTGGAGTTTAGTATTACCCAGCAGAAGTTCAGGGATGCAATTGAAATAGGCATTAAAAAATAAGGCAAATCCCACTGGTATTAAATTATGTTTTATATGCAGGGCAGAATGGCCAGAGATTAATCTAGACCTTGTGTTTAATTAAAGCCTTTGAAGGCTTTAATCGTCATGCAAATGGCTGTCACACTTCAGAGCAATCCTAGTGCCTTCCCTATACATTTGAAGCAAAACGGAATGAAAAAAGAAAACTATACTCTAACTCTGCCTTTTTATTATCTAGCTTCTGTGTCCTTAGCATATTTAAAAACTAGTGTTCATAAAATAATTATGTATTCCATTTATTTATTGAAGGAGAAGAGTATGTTTTGTCCATCTCTTAATTTTGAAGTTGGATTTGTATTACATGAGGATACAGGCTACATTTCATCCAGCAAATTCTGTGATTTTTCCATCTGACAGCCCAAATAGAACAGATGAAGCCAGTTGTGGTGAGCCAGTACTTTAATCACTTAGTCATGTTACTACTTTATCATTTGGCTGAGATTTGTGTGTGCAGTGGTTTCCCGTCCCTCTTATCCACAGGGGATACATTCCAAGACCCCCCATGGATGCCTGAAACCACAGATATGTATGTATGCTATGTTTTTTTTTCCTATATGTACATATCTATGATAAAACTTAATTTGTAAGTTAGGAACAGTAGAAGATTAACAATAGTAGAACAATTATAATAGTGTACTGCTATGTAAGTGATGTGAATGTAGTCTCTTTCTCAAAATATTTTACTATAATTACCCTTGTGATATGAGTTGATAAAATGCTTACTTGATGAGATGCAGTGAGGTGAGCAATGTAGTCCTTATGATGTACAGTTAGCCTACTATTGACTTTTTAAAAAAATTAATTCTGACATAGTTAACATACAGTGTTATATTAGTTTCAGGTTTATAATATAGCGATTCAACAGTTGCATATGACACCGACACCCATTCCTCATTAGAACAAGTGCTCTCCTTATTCCCCATCACGTGTTTCATTTATTCCCACCTGGTGACCTGTAACCATCAGTCTGTTCTCTGGAGTTAAGAGTCTGTTTCTTGGTTTTTCTCTCTTTTTCCCTTTGCTCATTTGTTTTATTTCTTAAATCCCACAGATGAGTGAAATCTATGGTATTTCTTTTTCTCCGACTTATTTTGCTTAGCATTATGATCTCTAGCTTTATCCATTTTATTAGAAGTGGCGAATTTTTATTGTTTTTTTATGGCTGAATAGTATTCCACTGTATATCTATACCACATCTTCTTTTTTTAAAAAAAACTTTATATATAAAAACATAGAGCAACATATGTTTTGCCAACATATAGCATAATACCCAGTGCTCATCCCGTCAAGTGCCCCCCCTCAGTGCCTGTCACCAGTCACCCCATCCCCCTGGCCACCTTCCCTTTCCACTACCCCTTGTTTGTTTCCCAGAGTTAGGGGTCTCTCATGTTCTGTCTCCCTTTCTGATATTTCCCACTACTTTCCTCTCCTTTCCCCTTTACTCCCTTTCACTATTTTTTATATTCCCCAAATGAAAGAGACCATATAATGTTTGTCCTTCTCTGATTGACTTATTTCACTCAGTATAATACCCTCCAGTTCCATCCACATTGAAGCAAATGATGGGTATTTGTCATTTCTAATGGCTGGTAAAATTCCATTGTATACATAGACCACATCTTCTTTATCCATTCATCTTTTGATGGACGCTGAGGCTCCTTCCACAGTTTGGCTATTGTGGACATTGCTGCTATAAACATTGGGGTGTAGGTGTCCCAGAGTTTCACTGCATCTGTATCTTTGGGGTAAATCCCCAGCAATCCAATTGCCGGGTCATAGGGCAGTTCTATTTTTAACTCTTTGAGGAACCTCCACACAGTTTTCCAGAATGGCTGCACCAGTTCAAATTCCCACCAACAGTGCAAGAGGGTTCCCCTGTCTCCACATGCTCTCCAACTTTTGTTGTTTCCTGTCTTGTTAATTTTCACCATTTTCACTGGTGTGAGGTGGTATCTCATTGTGGTTCTGATTTGTATTTCCCTAATGACAAGTGATGCAGAGCATTCTCTCATGTGCTTGTTGGCCATGTCTATGTCTTCTTTGGTGAAATTTCTGTTCATGTCTTTTGCGCATTTCATGATTGGATTGTTTGTTTCTTTGCTGTTGAGTTTAATAAGTTCTTTATAGATCTTGGAAACTAGCCCTTTATGTGATACGTCATTTGCAAATATCTTCTCCCATTCTGTAGGTTGTCTTTTAGTTTTGTTGACTGTTTCTTTTATCTTGATGAAGTCCCAGTAATTCATTTTTGCTTTTGTTTCCTTTGCCTTCATTACATGTATCTTGCAAGAAGTTGCTGTGGCCAAGTTCAAAAAGGGTGCTGCCTGTGGCCAAGTTCAAAAAGGGTGTTGCCTGTGTTCTCCTCTAGGATTCTGATGGATTCTTGTCTCACATTTAGATCTTTCATCCATTTTTAGTTTATCTTTGAGTTTATCTTATACCACATCTTCTTTATCTACTCATTGGTCAATGGATATTGGGCTGTTTTCCATAGTTTGACTACGGAAGTTTGGCTATTTGTAATAATTCTGCTATAAACATATGGGCACATCTCTCTTTTTGTATTTGTGTTCTTTGGATGACTACTGAGTAGTGGGATTACTGGATCATAGGGTAGTTCTATTTTTAGCTTTTTGAAGAAGTTTCATACTGTTTTCCACAGTAGCTGCACCAGTTTGCATTCCTACCAACCATGTACAAGGGTTCATTTTTTTTTTTTTCCACATCCTTGCCAATATTTGTTTCCTGTGTTTTTGATTTTAGATACTCTGGCAAATATGAGGTAGTATCTTGTAGTTTTGATTTGTACTTCCTTGATGATGAAAGATGTTCAGCATTTTTTTATGTACCTATTGGCCATCTGGATGCTGCCTTTGGAGAAATGTCTGTTCATGTCTCCTGCCCATTTTTTTCCCTGCCCATTTTTAAATTGGATTACTTGGCTTTATTTTTTGGTGTGGAGTATAAGTTGTTTATATGTTTTGGATATTAAATCTTTTTTAGATAAACCATTTACAAATATCTTCTCCCATTCAATAGATTGCACCTAATATAATAAGATACCAGGGAATAAACTTAACCAAACAGTTGAAGGACCTGTCCCTCTCAAAACTATAAAACCCTGGTGAAAGAAATTGAATACAACACAAATAAATGGAAAAATATTCTTTGCCCATGGATTGGAAGAACAAATATTGTTGAAATATCTATACTATCCAAAACAATCTACAGATTTAATACAGTCCCTATGA